GTTCAGGAAGGTTATGAGGCTGTTATATTGCATCGACAGTATTGATTATTGTACTAATGTCTTCTGTTAAAACAGTATTTTCTTGCAATGAATCTCATGGTTAAAAAAACTGCAAGTATTTACGGATGGCCATACTGCCCCTCAAACTGCTGACAATAAGGGATAGTCACACTGTCCATCAAACTGTAAACAACAACCGATAGCCACACTGTCCCTCAAACTACAAACAAAAACGGATACTCAGTCCATTCATGGTATTGCAGGGGCGGTCGGGCAGCCTAGTGGTTAAAGCGTCCGCTCGTCACGCCGAAGACCCGAGTTCGATTCCCCACATGGGAACAATGTGTGAAGCCCATTTCTGGTAAAACTAAACTCACTCACTCACTCACTCACTCATGGTATTGCACCTCTGCATCTTCAAGAACTCATCTCTCCTTACATGAAAAGAACAGCTCTGCGTTCATCCTCGTCTAATCTGCTCTGTGTACCAAGTGTAACCTCAAATCATTTGGCTACAAGTCTTACCAGAACATGGCATCGGTCACATGGAATTCCTTCCCTGATGAGCTTATGCTGTCTCCAACCCTTGCAAACATTAAGGGGCATCTCAAAACCTTTCTCTACAGAAGGTACTATATCAATGGACTTCAATAATGCCTTGCTAGCGCTATGAGCATACCTGGTGTGGAGTTTGTCGCTATATAAACGGACACATTATTATTAGTTATTTTCTTATTAGTCATACTGCCCCCTTAAACTGCTAACAATAATGGATAGCCATACTGCCGCTAAAACTAAAAACAATAACGGATAGCCATACTGGCCCTTAAACTGCAAACAATAATGGATAACCATACTTGCCATCACACTGCTAACAATAATGGATACCCATACTGCCTCTCAAACTAAACACAATAACGGATAGCCTAGCCGCCTTTCCAACGGCACGAAATAATGTATTGCCACACTACAAACTGCAGCAATAATGGATCTCCAACCTGACCGCCAAACTGCAAGGATTAAAAAAACCTAACAACTTTCGATGTTTACACATTCAGCTTCCTACAGTCATATCACATGACAACCCCAACTCTCCCAACACTCGCGTCACAAGAACAGTAAACTAATTAAAGCCTTCCCGGATTTCATATTCCCTGAACACATCATGTGTGAAGCGTAGTTGTGTTTCAGTAATCGCTACACGTCCAGAGTCGACATATGTTGGTGGATGGTTGTAAAATGAGACTGTTTGGAACCGATTGAAACGGATGTTATATTGTGCGAAAACGAAGAGTGAGGGAGTGAGTTAATATTTCTCGACACATCCATAATATTTCAGCCTTATCGTGACGAGAACAATTAATTATCAGTAAAGATCAATAATATTAGAATGAATAATACTGTTTACGATGAGCAGTAAAACTACTCGTGTATCACAGTTAGAGATAAAACACTCGCATGTAACTAAACACGGGCTATAAATCACCAGCAACTGCGAAAACGAAGAAACAGCTTTGGCCAATGTCATGCTGTCGCACCATTTCCACGAAAATTAATACTCTGTAATTGGTTGTAACACTTACACAAACCTGCCGATCAATACACCACTCACGCGATATAATTCCACATACAAAATAACGAAAATGATGTTTAACTTTCAGCTTTGACTATACGAACAAGCATCAATAAACTGTTAGGGCAGCGGAAACTTTCAGTTGAATTAAATTTGAAATTCTATTCAAGTTGATGGGTATTAAATGATGAAGAATCACATCGAATAGAATAGAATATCGAATAGAAAACACACACTCACTCTGTAATCTTTCCACATGCAGCTTGCCATATGTTACCCCTCCCAACGTTTAGAACTGTACTTAAATGCTAGTTTGAATGTTAATTGATGAGTATTCAGTAAAAAGGAAAAGTATTCAGTACCTAAAACTCTCAGATATTCTGCAGAAGAATGATACTTTCTCATACAAACGTTCAAAGAAGACATATGAAAAAGTGACCTTGTAATACAAACTTAAAATATCATTAATTTAGTTATATTTAATAAGTGTTTTGGTTAAGAATGTGTAGAATCTGCTCATAGACTGAGTAAAACCTTAATTTCGTGGTTGGTAAATGTTTCTGCAACATATTTCATTGGTTTCTGTCTCAACCACATAATCGAGCTTGCTCCTTTAACGAACATTTCTAAGCGTTGTTACAGCTCTTGCTGAGACATTGTATGAGAGTTCCCTGATTTATTTCCTATGAAAACCTTAAGATTTGTATTACACTTGTGGAGGACATTTCCAAGTTTGGTGAATCAGTGACAGAAATTATGTCTGGTGAATGTTCTTATTTTGAGTTGTACCATGTGTTTCTGTGTATTTTCAAATGGATAATTGCGGTACCTGTGCTTGTATTTATGATGGCTGCCATAATTACTAGAGAAGATGCTCACTTTGTATCCCCACTATTTCAAAGTCAACAATAGACGCACGATTACGACGATCCAAAGTGTCTGATGTTACATATCTCAAGTCGTTGAAGCCCTTTCATTTGCATCAAATCAGGGAATGATTATAGATAGGTGCCAAAGTTTCGGCAGAATATGTTCACATTGTATTACCGCAATTTGAAAGTCAATCAAAAACACATACTTATGAAAGCTTTTTGACAAGGATCTGTAATGACCAGTCAATACTGATGCCTTTTTTTATAGATGACATCAGTGAATCCTGGTTCTTCCACATTAAATGTGTGAGATCGGGAATTAAAACTAATGATGAGATTATATAATATGAGAAAATGGTTTTCCCTGTATGATACAGTGAGAATGGTTGGTTGGTTGTTTCACACCGCTATATGGTGGCGGTCTGTTAAAAATGAGTCTGGACCAGATAATCGAGTGATCAACTGCATGGGCATCGATCAACGCAATTTGGATACGATGACATGTGTCAGCCAAGTCTGTGAGCCTGACCACCCTATCCGATTAGTTGCCTCTTCCGACAAGCATGGGTTACTGAAGATCAATTTTAACGGGGATTTTCCGCCCCCTTCAAGGGTACAGTGAGAACGAGTGAGTGAGTGAGTGAGTGAGTGAGTGAGTGAATTTAGTTTTACGCCGCCTTTAGCAATATTCCAGCGCGGGACACCAGAAATAGGCTTCGAACATTGGATCTTTGATGTTACGAGCGAACGCTTTGACCACTAGGCTACCCCACCACCCCACAGTGAAAACGGTCACAATATATACTGAGTCAAAAAAGAAAGTTCACAAAATGTAATTTGAAAAATAATGAATAATTTTTCTCTGATGATACATCTATGTATCCGAAATGGGATCCCTATCTTTCGATTCTAGAAAAACGTTTGCAAAACCAACTCAAACCCATCTATTCGTCGTGTAAATGACGTTAGTGCCAAATCAGGTTTTGCACGTGCAGTCGATCATGTGATCTTCGCATCGAAGTTTTCTTCATATGCACGTGTTTGCATTGGTCTCAAGAATTGAAAAAATACTTTTAAACCACAGTTCTTACGGTACTTGAAATGCCACGATTGTCAAATGTGCAACGTGAACGTGCCGTTGGCATGTTGCAAGCGGGAAGATCAGTTATTGACGTCGCAAGAGCAATGGGATGCAGCCGTCGTAATGTGTATGACTTGCGAGGTCGTCTACAACAAACTGGCACCACTTCTGATCGCCCAAGGTCGGGTCGTCCACGTGTGACGTAACGAGCAGAAGACTGTCAAATCGTCCTACGTCACCTACGTGACAGATTTCTGCCGGCTACACGAACCAGGGCTGAAATGTCAGAGGTCGACTGTCCTCACAGACCATTCGAAATCGTGGGCCAATATTGACGCCGTTTCATCAACGTCAACGTCTGCTGTGGGCCCAACGTCACCTCCGATGGACCCAGAGAGTCTGGAATCGAGTTGTCTTTAGCGATGAATCCAGGTTTACCCTCAGATTCGCGGACGGCAGGCATAGAGTCTGGAGACGACGTCGTGAACGGTATGCCCAATGTTGTGTACAGGAAGTCGACAGATTCGGGGGCGGAAGTTGCATGGTGTGGGGAGCTTTCTGTGGGAACAACCGTTCCCGACGTCTGGTCATCCGTGGAAACCTCACAGCTGCTGCTTACCGCGACCAGGTGCTCACCCCCGAACTCGTTCCTTTCATGGCTGCTCATGGCCCAGGTCTGCAGTTCCAGCATGATAATGCTCGGCCGCATACCGCGATGTTGACACGAAATTTCCTTCAAAACGCTGGAATCAACGTCATGGACTGGCCATCGAGGTCCCCTGACCTTAATCCAATAGAGCACGTTTGGGATGCAAGAGCAATGGCGCAGAATCCCCAACCACGTGTTCACAAGCATCAGACAGTCGATGAGGAGACGGTGTTTGGCAGTGGTGAATGCGCGGGGCGGCCATACACGATATTGAACTGAGAAATTTCGCATTTTTATTTTTGTGACTTGACATTCTGTATACCCATGTTTTGGAACGGCGGTGTAGCTGATGGAACTGATTATGGCACTGTCAGTGTATCGAGTACATCACACAGATCTCAGCAATGAAATAATATCAAGGTAATCATCTTACCATCTCTTGTTCTTTTATAGTGCCCTGAAGAAAGAATGTGAAGTTTCTTTTTTGACTCAGTATAGTACACATAGGTTCTTCATCATGACAAGTACATACTGAGCGTGTTTACCACCATTCCCTGAAAATAATAACTGTTTCCCCGACTAATGCACTCATCTCCTGGTTAAACTGTAATCAAACTATCACATCATAAAACTGTAAATTTGGTATTGAAGTTCTTCACGTTTATCTGACAGAAGATCGCAAGAGATCAAAACTGTGACCTCTGTGTTAATTATCCACATATTCTGACATGATTAATGTTCATCGTAAAATAATTTAAATCCGTGTCTGTCAGAAACATGCAGACAAAGGTCAGAAGGTATGATGCAGGTGAAACGTCATATTTTAACACTGAGGTGCGAACATGTGTTGGTTCATGTTTATAAGCTTGTCAGGAACTCGACTGGACAGCAGTTCCAGCTGTGGGGATCACTGAAGAGACATGTTTTGGTGTGTATATTTTTCAAACATTTTAAAAAATCTATTTTCTGCATGATGTGATATTATTAGATTTGAGACAGGTCACTCTGAGTGTTTTAATTGCCTTCTTTGTTGATGTATGGTGTCGATCATTAAGTTGATGGCAAGACGGTGGTGTGCAGTGTCTCTCACTCAATCGGGGCGGTGGGGTAGCCTAGTGGCTAAAGCATTCACTCATCCGCCGTGATATTGCTGGAATATTGCTAAAAGCGGCGTAAAACTAAACTCATTCCTTGCCACTAAATACTATGGGTGGACGGCACTATTGGAACACTGTAAATACGAGGGATTTTCATTACCATGAAAGAAACCTAAGGCAACTTCAAGGTAACAGCGTGTCACAAAAACCCGTCTCCGGACCAGTAGGATGCTGGGTTAACCTGACATAAGGGCATTCCACCGGTAGGGATTAGTAAGTGAGTGAGTGGGGATATTTAAGGAATATTCCCTCAACATCACAACGGGGGATACCAGAACTGGGCTTTACACATTGTACTCAAGTTGGGAATCGAACCAGGATCTTCGGGGGTGACGCTTAACGCTTAACTACTCGGCTACCCTAGCGCCTCCGTAGGGATTAACATCTATACTGCGTAAAGTGGGTGGCGAGATATTGGTACAAGGTGTGTTTGGTGTAAAGTAACGTCGTAACATGGAAACAGTGACAGGGAAACGGTACTTACATGTATGTTATGTAAGGACTGACAAAATCAAACAAAACAAATACAAACGTATTTCAGATATTGATAAATGACTATCCCTGTTTAGAATATTCGAGTATTATTCCCTCAGGTACTTGCGAGCCGCTATGTTTGCTGTGGCCACTCTCGTCGCACTGCTTCTGCATGGAGCAAGCGGAACAACAGAGGTAAGGGCTGTACATTCTACTTTAGTTACCCGTGTTTCAACTAACCTTATTTCTACATGAGCTGTGTCATTCAGGGCGCTGTACATTCTACTTTAGTTACCCGTGAATCAACTAACCTTATTTCTACATGAGCTGTGTCATTCAGGGCGCTGTACATTCTACTTTAGGTACCCGTGAATCAACTAACCTTATTTCTACATGAGCTGTGTCATTCAGGGCGCTGTACATTCTACTTTAGTTGGATTGAGGTTGGAATGAGGTTGAGTTGGGTTTTGCGTCACATCGGCATTATTCCAGCCATATAGTGACGAGAACACTACTTTTGTTACCCGTGAATCAACTAACCTTATTTCTACATGAGCTGTGTCATTCAGGGCGCTGCACATTCTACTTTAGTTACCTGTGAATCAACTAACCTTATTTCTAAATGTACCCTCTGTCATTGGATCCAGAACAATATCCTTTCGACTACCAAATAACAGCTCTATTTTCACAGCAGAAGCAAACGCCATATTAACAGCTCTTAAATATATTAATAAACACCGTAAATATAAACAATACATAATATGTTCCGATTCTATTTCGTGTCCTCAGGTTTTTAAGAATCTTTCTTGTAAACATCCACTTTCATTTGAAATGATTGAATTGTATAATGAGCTCGCTACTGGCCAATACGACATCGTCTTTTGTTGGTTACCCAGCCACGTTGGCATTTCTGGGAACACAATGGCCGATCGTGCTGATAAGGCAGCACTCAACAAATCTGTGACACCACCTCTGATCCCATACTCTGATTACAAAGCTGCTATTAGATGTTATATCCGTGATCTGATGCAAAAGAAGTGGGACACCCAAGTAGGTATCAATAAATTACATGCACTAAAACCAACTATCGGTTACACCTACTTGGGTTGTCAGTCCAGATTTGAAGAGGTCATCACACGACGATGTCGTATTGGCCACACTAGACATACTCATGAGTACTTATTAAAAGGTGAGGATCCTCCGTTTTGTATCCCTTGTGATGAAAGAATCACGGTCAATCATGTCCTGCTTGACTGTGTTGAATATTCCATCACAAGGGATTTCTATTTCAAATCACAAACTATGAAGGATCTTTTTAGTAATATAAGTTCTCATTTAATTATTGCATTTTAAAAAGAATTAGACTTGTTAACTGATTTGTAAATAGATATATATTTTATTATTGGTAGTTTAGATTAGTAACTGAGATTGTTAGTGGCTGTACCCTCAAAGGGGGTTGAAGTAGCGTAAAATTATTGTCCTCCTGAGAGGGTACGTAAGTCCTGAAACATTCAAAGGAAATTTAAATTTACCAGCTGTTTTAAATGTAGTATTCTTGTCATTTTAATTTTGGCTAAATTTGACTTCAATCGCCAGCGGCTGAAGGGATGATATAAATCCAACTAGGGTCCATGCAGATAGCAAAAGTAATGTAAGTCCCCATGGTCCCTAGTTTGGTGATCTACCTTCGGTTGTTGGCGATCTATAGCCAGTTTTTATATTGTATTGTCCAAATAATGCTATCAGTTTAATTTTCCACAATAGTTTTAGTTGTAATTGTGATATTCTAGTTGTTTTACTGTCCTTCGTGGACAGGTTTTTATAATATACATCTATTCCATTTCAATGTCACATATGTTCTCGTCACGACATGGCTGAAATATTGCCGATGTGACGTTAAATAATAACTCACTCACTCACTCTAAATGTACCACGACATTCAAAGCACTATACATTATACTTCAGTTTTGCGTGAATCAACTAACCTTATTTCTAAATGATACTGTGCGTTATTGTCCAGTGTGCTCAGTAGACCGTAGGTAATAACATAGTGTGCTCACTATCCTGTACGTTATATTCTATTCTAATTCAACTTAGTATGTAACACGAGTTCTGAGGTCAATGCTATAAATTTCTGACCGTATAATCAGCATATTGAAAACCGATTCACCAAAACCTTTGAATGTATCTCTAAACTAAAGGGGTAACGCTGTTTACGCGTCGCCGTTATAACTAAATTTGCGGCTATATAACCATCGGTATACGTCCCCAATTCGTGAAACACAGTACAGTTAAGTGTTTTCAGAATGCTATGGGTTATTGTCCAATGTGCTCAGTATGCTGTAGGTAGTAATAGAGGGTGCTCATGATATTGTACGTTATTGTCCAGTGTGCTCACGATTCTGTACGTTACTGTCCTGTGTGCTCAAGATAGTGTACGTTATTGCCCAGTGTGCTCAAGATATTGTACGTGATTGTCCAGTGTGCTCACGATACAGTACGTTATTGTTCAGTGTGCTCAGGATACTGTACGTTATTGTCCAGTGTGCTCACGATACTGTACGTTATTGTCCAGTGTGCTCAAGATATTGTACGTTATTGTCTAGTGTGAACACGATGCTGTACGTTATTGTCCAGTGTGCTCATGATACTGTACGTTATTGTACAGTGTGCTAACGATACTGTACGTTATTGCCCAGTGTGCTCAAGATACAGTACTTTATTGTACAGTGTGCTCACGATACTGTACGTTATTGTCCAGTGTGCTCACCATACTGTACGTTATTGTCAAGTGTGCTCACGATACTGTACGTTATTGTCCCGTGTGCTCATGACACTGTACGTTATTGTCCAGTGTGTTCAAGATACTGTACGTTATTGTCCAGTGTGCTCAGGATATTGAACATTATTGTCCAGTGTGCTCAAGATATTGTACCATATTGTCCAGTGTGCTCACGTTACTGTACGTTATTGTCCAGTGTGCTCAAGATACAGTACGTTATTGTTCAGTGTGCTCAGGATACTGTACGTTATTGTCCAGTGTGCTCAAGATACAGTACGTTATTGTCCAGTGTGCTCAAGATACTGTACGTTATTGTCCAGTGTGCTCAAGATATTGTACCATATTGTCCTGTGTGCTCACGATAATGTACGTTAGTGTCCAGTGTGCTCAAGATATTGTACGTTATTGTCCAGTGTGCTCACGATACAGTACGTTATTGTCCAGTGTGCTCAAGCTATTGTACGTTATTGTCCAGTGTGCTAACGATATTGTACGTTATTGTCTAGTGTGCTCACGACGTTGTTCGTTATTGTCCCTAGTGTTCAAGATAGCGTACGTTATTGCCCATTGTACTCACCATACTGTATGTTATTGTCCAGTGTGCTCAATATACTCTACGATATTGTCCAGTGTGCTCAAGATTCTGTACGTTAATGTCCAGTGTGCTCACGATACAGTACGTTATTGTCCAGTGTTCTCACGATACTGTACGTTATTGTCCAATGTGACCAAGATACAGTACGTTATTGTCCGGTGTGTTCACGATACTGTTCTTTACTGTCCGGTGTGCTCACGATACTGTACGTTATTGTCCACTGTGCTCAGGATACTGTACGTTATTGTCCAGTGTGCTCAGGATACTGTGCTTTATTGTCCAGTGTGCTCACGATACTGTGCTTTACTGGCTAGTGTGCTCAAGATACTGTACGTTATTGTCCAGTGTGCTCACGATACTGTTCGTTATTGACCAGTGTGCTCACGATACTGTGTTTTATTGTCCAGTGTGCTCAATATACTGTACGTTATTGTCCAGTGTGCTGAGGATACTGTACGTTATTGTCCAGTGTGCCCACGATACTGTGCTTTACTGTCCGGTGTGCTCACGATACTGTATGTTATTGTCCAGTGTGCTCACGATGCTGTACGCTATTGTCCAGTGTGCTCACAATTCTGTACGTTATTGTCCAGTCAGCTCACGATACTGTACGTTATTGTCCAGTGTGCTCAGGATACTGAGCTTTATTTCCAGTGTGCTCACGATACTGTGCTTTACTGTCCAGTGTGCTCAAGATACTGTACGTTATTGTCCAGTGTGCTCAATATATTGTACGTCATTGTCCAGTGTGTTCGGGATATAGAACGTTATTGTCCAATGTGCCCACGATACAGTACTTGAATGTCCAGTGTTCTGACGATTCTGAACGTTAATGTCCAGTGTGCTCACGGAACAGTACGTTATTGTGCAGTGTGCTCACGATATAGAGCTTTATTGTCCAGTGAGCTCACGATACTGTACGCCATTGTCCAGTGTGCTCAGGATACTGTCCGTTAATGGCCAGTGTGCTCACGAGAGAGTACCTTATTGTCCAGTGTGCTTAAGATAATGTACGTTATTGTCCAGTGTGCTCACAATACTGTGCTTTACTTTCCAGTGTTCTCACGATACTGTACGTTATTGTCCAGTGTGCTCACGATTCTGTACGTTATTGTCCAGTGTGATCACGATGCTGTACGTTATTGTACAGTGTGCTCAAGATACTGTACGTTATTGCCCAATTTGCTCACGATACTGTACGTTATTGTCCAGTGTGCACACGATACTGCACGTTATTGTCAAGTGTGCTCACGATACTGTGCTTTACTGTCCAGTGTGCTCACGATACTGTACGTTATTGTCCAGTGTGCTCCGACACAGTGCTTTATTGTCCAGTGTGCTCACGATACTGTACGTTTTTGTCCAGTGTGCTCACGATACTGTACACTATTGTCCAGTGGGCTCAAGATACTGTACGTTATTGTCCAGTGTGCTCACGATACTGTGCTTTATTGTCCAGTGTGCTCACGATACTGAACGTTATTGTCCAGTGTGCTCACGATACTGTGCTTTATTCGCCAGTGTGCTCACGATGCTTTACGTTATTGTCCAGTGTACCCAAGATACTGTTCGCTATTGTCCAGTGCGCTCACGATACTGTACGTTATTACCCAGTGTGCTCACGATACAGTACTTTATTGTACAGTGTGCTCACGATACTGCACGTTATTGTCCACTGTGCTAAAGATACTGTACGATGTTGTACAGTGTGCTCACGATACTGTGCTTTATTGTCCAGTGTGCTTACGATTCTTTTCGATATTGTCCAATGTGCTCTCGATACAGTACGTTATTGTCCAGTGTGCTCACGATTTCGTACGTTATTGTCCAGTGTGCTGAAGATACAGTGCTTTATTGTCCACTGTGCTCACGATAGTGTGCTTTATTGTCCAATGTGACCAAGATACAGTACGTTATTGTCCAGTGTGCTCAAGACACTGTGCTTTAGTGTCCTGTGTGCTCAAGATACTTTACGTTATAGTCCAGTGTGCTCACGATACTGTCCGTTAATGGCCAGTGTGCTCACGATAGAGTACCTTATTGTCCAGTCTGCTTAAGATAATGTACGTTATTGTCCAGTGTGCTCACAATACTGTGCTTTACTTTCCAGTGTGCTCACGATACTGTACGCTATTGTCCAGTGTGCTCCCAATTCTTTCCGTTATTGTCCAGTGTGCTCACGATGCTTTACGTTATTGTACAGTGTGCTCAAGACACTGTACGTTATTGTCTAGTGTGCTCAGGATACTGTACGCTATTGTCCAGTGTGCTCACGATACTGCACGTTATTGTCCAGTGTGCTCACGATACTGTGCTTTACTGTCCAGTGTGCTCAAGATACTGTACGTTATTGTCCAGTGTGCTCACGATACTGGACGTTAATGTCCAGTGTGCTCACGATACTGTACGTTTTTGTCCAGTCTGCTCCGTCCGATACAGTGCTTTATTGTTCAGTGTGCTCCGATACTGTGCTTTACTGTCCAGTGTGCTCACGATACTGTACGTTTTTGTCCAGTGTGCTCCGATACTGTGCTTTACTGTCCAGTGTGCTCAAGATACTGTACGTAATTGTCCAGTGTGCTACGACACAGTGCTTTATTGTCCAGTGTGCTAAACATACTGTACGATGCTGTACAGTGTGCTCACGATACTGCACGTTATTGCCCAGTGTGCTCCGATACAGTGCTTTATTGTCCAGTGTGCTAAACATACTGTACGATGCTGTACAGTGTGCTCACGATACTGTACGTTATTGCCCAGTGTGCTCACGATACAGTACGTTATTGTCCAGTGTGCTCTAGATACTGTACGATATTGTCCAATGTGCTCGCGCTGCTGTGCTTAATTGTCTAGTGTGCTTATGATACTGTACGTTATTGTCCAGTGTGCTCACGATACCGTACGTTATTGTCCAGTGTGCTCACGATACAGTGCTTTATTGTTCAGTGTGCTCCGATACTGTGCTTTACTGTCCAGTGTGCTCACGATACTGTACGTTTTTGTCCAGTGTGCTCCGATACTATGCTGTACTGTCCATTGTGCTAAACATACTGTACGATGCTGTACAGTGTGCTCACGATACTGTACGTTATTGCCCAGTGTGCTCCGATACAGTGCTTTATTGTCCAGTGTGCTAAACATATTGTACGATGCTGTACAGTGTGCTCACGATACTGTACGTTATTGCGCAGTGTGCTCACGATACAGTACGTTATTGTCCAGTGTGCTCTAGATACTGTACGATATTGTCCAATGTGCTCGCGCTGCTGTGCTTAATTGTCTAGTGTGCTTATGATACTGTACGTTATTGTCCAGTGTGCTCATGATACCGTACGTTATTGTGCAGTGTGCTCACGATTCTGTACGTTATTGTCCAGTGTGCTCACGATACTGTACGCTAGTGTCCAGTGTGATCAAGATACTGTACGTTATTGTCCAGTGTGCTCATGATATTGTACGCTATTGTCCAGTGTGCTTACGATTCTGTACGTTATTGTCCAGTGTGCTCAAGATATTGTACGTTATTGTCCAGTGTGCTCAAGATACTGTACGTCATTGTCCAGTGTGATGAATATGATGTACGTTATTGTCCTGTGTGCTCACGATACTGTACGTTATTGCCCAGTGTGCTCAAGATACTGTATGTTAATGTCCAGTGTGCTCACGATAGAGAACTTTATTGTCCAGTGTGCTCAATATATTGTACGTCATTGTCCAGTGTGCTCACGGTACAGAACGTTATTGTCCAATATGCTCACGACACAGTATGTTAATGTCCAGTGTGCTCAAGATGCTGTACGTTATTGTCCAGTGTGCTCACGAAATAGTACGTTATTGTGCAGTGTGCTCACGATAATGTACGTTAATGGCCAGTGTGCTCACGATAATGTACGTTATTGTCCAGAGTGCTCACGGTACAGTACGTTATTGTTCAGTGTGCTCACGATAATGTACGTTATTGTCCAGTGTGCTCACGATACTGTACGTTATTTTCCACGTGATCATCACAGTTTAGGAAGTGAATTGTAGCCATGCCAAACTTTCAGACGTGTTTGGCATGTGAGGAAAAATGGTATTCGTTATATCATGGTATGTTCAAATCAAGGTTATATCTTAGATCAAGACTTTGTACTTCTAATCACGGTATACTGAGGACAATCTCTCTATATTATAGTTTGCTCACGGTGCCGTGACACCCGGGAATGGAGAGGTCATCCCTATGGACATCGAGCTGCACGACAACAGTATGATAACCTACCCAGGAACACCTGACCCGCCTCAAAAATGCTTCAAGAAGTCAATCAACTACCATGACTTTACAAAGGTACACGTGCATCTGAAATATATGCTCCGTATAAAGGTCAGGCTGCCTTTGTGTGGTTTAAACGGTAGTCAACTACCATGACTTTACAAATACTCAACTGCCATGACTTTACAAATACTCAACTGCCATGACTTTACAAATAGTGAAGTTCCATGACTTTACAAAGGTACATATGCATCTGAAATAAGTGCTCCATGATCTCCAGCTAGTGACCTAGCCAAGGCCTTCAGCTGCCTTAACGTGTTTTGAATTGTTGTATATAATCAACTACCATGACTTTACAAAGGTATATATGCATCTGAAATAAGTGCTCAATGGTAGCTAGCGACGTGGCAAAGTTCATGTTGTAGCGTGTTTTAAACAGAAATCGCTTAAATTAATATTATGTGTAAAAATAAAATTGTTCTTGTCACTGCATGGCTGAAACAACGCTTACTTAAAATTATAACTCTCTCAAAGAAACATACATCGTGATGTATATGGGTGATGACATATTTGATAGCTGCTACCCATCTACATGAGGTCGTTCAGGGGGGCGCAAGGAATTGAATAACATCTTGGTTAGTAGGATAGAGAATCGGTGAAGATTGTTGCAACAAACTGAACATAAATTATGGAAACAAATTTGAAATTCAGAGACAGTATTAAATATCTGACATATGCCAGTTAAACGTCTATTTCATGTATATTTTGCAGGGCTTAGTGGCTATGAAGATCACCGAAAAAAATACTTGTTTTGTGAAGCCATCTGACGAGACATACGACGACATTAAGAAGGTCGTAGACAACATCGAAAAGGTGTGTCACATTAACAGCTGATGCATATTGCAACTGAGGCTTTTCATTATTTTATTCCATTTTCGCTGACACTTTTTCTTTCTTTCTTGGAATTGATCTTCAGTAACCCATGCTTGTCATAAGAGGCGACTAACGGGATCGGGTGGTCAGGCTCGCTGACTTGGCTGACACATGTCATCGTATCCCAGTTGCGTGGATCGATGATGTTGATCACAGGATTGTCTGGTCCAGACTTGATGTTTCACAGACCGCCGCCATGTAACTGGAATATTGCTGAGTGTGGAGTAAAACTAAACTCACTCACTCAACCTATCATTCTGTTCATCCTGTGTTCACCATGCAGGGAGAGAAAGCACCAAAGGTTCAAGCTACTGAAGAGTGGGTCGTTCCCAAAACGCCATTACCTGCAGAAGAGATCGAACAGAAAGTGGGAAAGAGGATAGCAAAGTTCTGTAGCGGCTGCAAAGTGCATCTCCTCCAAGACGGCAAAGTGATCAGGGCTGCTGCAGGTGAGCGGTTGTCATCGTTGCGCACCACACAAAACTATGAGCTATCAGGAGGTCCTTTCTCGACCTTTCGAAACGAGCCAAATATGTCAAGAGTACGAGATTAAATATGTATTGGATGCGTAGTCATGGTTGATCATATGCAATACTCAGCTGGACGTCAATAATCCTTATGTCATCTGGTTATTTTAATCTTATCTGGCTTACACGATGCAAATGCTGTAGTCAAGTAAACAATTGCTATTTCAGATGTCCCGAGAGTAACCGCGAAAAGAGGTGGTAAGTTTTCAACTTCATCTGTAAGTAATATCGAAAAGAATACCAAGGTTGATATTTGAAGATGCTAAAATGAAATTTCGAGATTCACATAAAGTTTAAATTTCAAGACAATGATCTTTAAATGTCAAGATAAGATTTTAAAATTTGAAGATCATCATCTTGAAATTTCAAAATAAATTTTTAATGTCCTCAAAACCCAACCAGAGTGGCCCAAAACGGCTTCCGTAAAGTACACAGCTGTGTTGATGTAGAGATACAGCGATATTTTTATCAGGTTTAATCACTAATACAAAAACCAATTATTCGCTTCCACAGCTGTGAGGAACCGGTCTAAGAGATGGTGGGGTGGATGGTGCCTGTTCTGCTGGGGATGTGTAGTGTCTGGAAAATAAAGACACAGCCCGACCATGCAATAAATGTGGCGTCACCTGACTCTGGTTCTGCGTTTTATATTGCCTTTTAAATTATTTTTTTTTTAAATTCATGTCAAATATGTTGTTTAACGCCGCACTAAGCAATATTCCAGCTATACGGCGACGGTCAGTAAATAATCGTGTCTGGACCAGACAATCCAGTGATCAACAGCATGGACATCGATCTACACAACTGGGATACGATGACATGCATCAACTAGGTCAGCGATCTTGACAATCTGATCCCTGTTTGTTAAAGATCAATTCTTACCCGGATCTTCACGGGTTCGTCAATACCAATTCAATTAAAGTTTTCATGATGAATTCATGTAAAATATGTCGTTTCGTACTCAGCTAATGCTGAAACTGTAGTGGGGTCGGTGGAAAACTAGCAACTATCAGACAGAGACTCAGACATACTGACAACATGGGAATATATACTATCCCAAAAAAGAAACGCATAGGCGTTTTGTATTCTTTAAAATCTATTAATTGCCTATTGTGTTCAAACAATCGTCAAAATATGTAACAAAAATGTTGATAACATGATTTTACACCCCAAAAAATCGACTTTACCTGAAAATACTGATTCTGATGAGATTTCTTACAAAGATTAAAAAGGCGTCACCACAACCTAACAGAAATCTCTTTCCAGTTTAAATTGTGTAGCAAAAAGCATGCACTGTTTGGCTATAAAAATCCAATATAGAACAAACTTTATGGATAACAACTTCTTTTTATTCGTGAGTGCGACGTTCCGATTACAGATTCTTGTACCGTTGTCAACGGTACAAGAATCTATATCGAAACGTTGCATAAAAAGTTATTATCCATAAAGTTTGTTCTATATTGTACTTCCCAACTTCTAATATGCCACTCAAAGAAGTTATAAAAATCCAGATTACTTTCGGAAATCGGCATTCGTTTTGAAGGAGTTGCAAGGTCAAATCACTACGCCACGTCTTGACGCTGCGACACAGAACATCACCATTGGAAGATTACACGCTGGAGATTACCAATCGTCTGTTGCCAGGCGTTTGAATGTTAGTCTGAGCACGATATCACGGCTTACAACTCTTTACAACCAAACAGGTATAACAAATGACCCTCCCCGTACAGGCAGACCTCGAGTCACCACTGTAGTCCAAGATCGGTACATCCAGGTACTACATCTGCTTGATCGTACTGCCACGGGTGAGAGCACAGCAGCTAGGGTGCCTGGACTTCGGAGGATATCCGATCAAGCTGTACGGAACGGGTTGAGAGAGATTGGACTGAGAGCCAGGAGACCCGACGTCGGGTCCGTGCTACGTCGCCACCATGGCGCTCAGTGTCTCCGTTATGTAAAATTATCCACTTGGTTGTATAGACATTTCCTTCTTCTAAGCTGATGCAAAAAATCATTTCCTGAAGTCTGTTTGTGGACGGGTTATACATTTTTGAAAATACAACATTTTCGCAACAAATTTCTGGGTTATGCGTTTCTTTTTTTTAATGGTATATATTTATGCGGTCGAACCCTGTTGTCCGAACACAAGGAGACTAGATAATGTTTAGATACATCGTCGACAGATCCAGCTGTGCCTTATGATGGTCCCGGTCAGCCAACAAGATGTTTACACGGTCATCAATGCTTCAGTGATTAAGGCTTTTGCTAATAGTATGACATGTCACTTAATCAAGGCATCCGTTACACAGATACAACCAACAGTCTTTGGTTTTTCACACACTCCTCTGTTGTTAAGGTTGGGCGCCGGGGTAGCCAAGTGGTTAAAGTGTTCGTTCGTCTCGCTGAAGACCCGTGTTCGACTCCCCACATGGGTACAACGTGTGACCCCCGTCGTGATATTGATGGAATATTGCTAAAAACTAAACACGAACTTGGCAATCAGTCATGTTGGCCATTCCTCAAGACCTCAAAATCCCATGAGGCATTCAAATTTATATCAAGAAGTGCACAGCCTTTTTCTCACACTATCAGTATATCACACACATAATATTTGAAACAACACCCCCCCCCAAAACCCAGCTAATTTTATGAATCCGATAGTTACTTTAGATACTTTCCTGAAAATACTATATTCAATGCAAACGATTTGTTAACTCAATGTGAAAATTTATTTAATTGTAAGTAATTTAATGCGAAATTTGATTAATGTGAGTAAAATGCTATATTCGAAAATTTAACAATATTATTATTAATACGCCTACAGTGAAGTGTATCTTATACACTCTGAGCGAGCGTATTCCAAACTGCTGCTCGTATTACCAAGATGCATCACATAAGAAACATCCATTTCTGATACGCGTAATAAAGTCGAGGCATGAGCAAGCTACCGTAAATCTAGAGAAAATAGTGTCAGCTCCCGGGTCAGAGATAGATAGACTAGCGGCGTCCAGGAGATTTCTATGGTCTACCTGAACAGCAAAATGAATCGTTTGAGTCGTGTAAGGATTAATATTGTGTCAGTTTTGAATCGACATATGGAGTGGAGTAAAGGCGATATTTTATGGGCGCATTGCATAGGTAGAAACTCCAAACCCGATAAACCACGCCCACTTATGGCCAAGTTTAATCACACTGATGAGAAGACCTCTGAACTCAAACATCGAGACACGTTGAGAAGTAGTGAGATAGGCGTGGCTAACGATCTCAGAGAGAGACACGTTGAGAAATAGTGTGATAGGCGTAGCTAACGTTCTCAGAGAGAGACACGTTGAAAAGTAGTGGGATAGGCGTGGCTAACGATCTCAGAGAGAAACGCGTTGAGAAGTAGTGGGATGGGCGTGGCTAACGATCTCAGAGAAAAACGCGTTGAGAAGTATTGGGAAAGGCGTAGCTAACGATCTCACAGAGACACGTTGAGAAGTAGCGGGATAGGCGTAGCTAACGATCTCACAGAGAGAAACGTTGAGAAGTAGCGGGATAGGCGTGGCTAACGATCTCACAGAGAGACACGTTGAGAAGTAGGGGATAGGCGTAGCTAACGATCTCACAGAGAGACACGTTGAGAAGTATTGGGAAAGGCGTAGCTAACGATCTCACAGAGACACGTTGAGAAGTAGCGGGATAGGCGTAGCTAACGATCTCACAGAGAGAAACGTTGAGAAGTAGCGGGATAGGCGTGGCTAACGATCTCACAGAGAGACACGTTGAGAAGTAGGGGATAGGCGTAGCTAACGATCTCACAGAGAGACACGTTGAGAAGTAGTGGGATAGGCGTAGCTAACGATCTCACAGAGAGACACGTTGAGAAGTAGTGGGATAGGCGTAGCTAACGATCTAACAGAGAGACACTCTGGCTGACCTTCGTAGTAAAGGACTCGATGCCTACAAGAACGGTAGACTGGAAACAAGACCAATGCAAGACAGCGATACACCTTGCAGATTCCTTCAAGTCAAGCCAGTGTCTAGAGGTCCTGAGCTGAACAAAGCACAGACACTGACGTCATCTCCCCACCCCCATCAGGCGCTTTTACAGCCCTGACCCGGGGTATATACATCAACCCCGAACCCCGGGGGACAGCAGTTAGTCGCGGAGTAAGCGCCCAACCCCGAGGGGAGATCTGCTAGGGAGGATGACAGCTAGGCCCGGTCCATATGTCACGAACAAACCAACCAGGTGCTGAGGTAACTGACTTTAATTCCCTACTTAAATATGTTACTTGGAACACCGAAGGATCTATATCCAAAATCGATGACACTGATTTTATCGAATGCCTTTCAAGCTAGATAAGGTTAGAGCACTTCCTCAACTAAATGCGTATGAGATATACGTAGCAAAAGCTTATAAGATTGCCAAGGCTGGTAGAGTCTCGGGCGGAGTTATGCTACTTGTGCACAACTCAATTGCAGACTACTGTCAACAAATGGAGACCAGCATACATAATGCCCTTTGCCTTAAGATAGACACGTTTGTTCTAAACAACGATAATAGACAATAAAGATGTATTATTTTTTGGGAATGCATACTTCAACGGTTGGCTCCACATTTTATGTTACAGCTGAGAAAACCACACCTATAGATCAGCTGGACCACTGGCCTTTCCTGAAGAACCGACTGTCCCCATATAGGCAGTCATGTGACAAGACCCCCAATAAATTTGGTGAGCTGTTGCTTGACCTGTGTTTTACCCATAATGTATACACATTCAACGGGAGAGCAACTGGAGATAGTTACGGTAACTTTACGTATATAGCTCAGCAAGGTTGCAGTGTTGTAGATTATTTTATTCGTTCTGTCAATATGACACCAATTATATGTTAGTCGATTCCAGAGTAGAATCGAAACACATGCCAGCATGTCGTCATTTTATGAAATCAGCTGATTATGACCAAATTCCTTCTGACTCTAACAAACCCCAGAGGTATACATATAGACGGAACTCCTCCATGTCTGAAAGATTCGTAAACAAATTATCTCAGTCATGTCAGTTACTCACAGATTTGTCAATGCTCAAATATTCTGATTTTAATCTCGCTGTTGGCAAATTTGCACATATTGTTTTATCCTCTGCTGACTGTATGAGGAAACCACGTGAAAGTGGTAAGCCACAAAGAGTGAGTGAGTGACTTTGGTTTAACAGCGTCGTGTTCGAAACGTCGTGTTCTATACTTAAAGAAGCTGCCTGCCATATATACTTGTTCTATCTTCCAACTTCTAAAATATATATCGTCATATTGAAAGCCCAAGGAATGAAGCTAACAGAACTATGTTGCCTCGTGTAGATTTTAGTAAGGATAGTGACATGGACGGCGAGAGATTCAAATACACGCACGTGCGTTTGTTGACATAACGGCTCTCATGGGTCTAATTGAGTGTATTTCTGACGATCTTGCGGGCTTGTTATGGAGATTGTATGTGCGCTTCCAACATGTGTAAATCGCTACGAGTTTAAAAACAATAATATTATATCTGTATGTAACTAATCAACATTATTCTTTAACATCAGGTTTATATTTCACATCTCTGGGGATATTTTAGTCTCACTTTGTTTTTGTCATTCATATGTCTTTCAGCGAATTCATTTAAAATTCCACCAGGGGTGTGACAGCAAGGTTACACGGGTGTTCAGTTTGTATATTCAACAAAACAATTCCTATAAGTGAATATTAAACCCTATTTAGAAAACTAATATAATTGGAAATATAAGGTGAACAGCTGGTAATAATTACATAAGAATATGTCTTTAGCAAATATGTTTCTCTCCTTCTTTTAGTTGTATCAAAGAGGTTTAATTCTTAAAAATAAATAAGTAAAAAAAAACAACAAAAATAAAAAAACAAACAAACAAAAAACACCCAAAACAACAGCAATACTATGTACCAGTGCTTCGATGATATTAAGAAACATTTTAATCAAAGGGGGATAGAGTTACCGTTCTTGTGTATAGTAGTTCTGATGTTCATACGCCAATATGAAATCATTCTAGAGGGGCACGAGTCGTCATTCGGCTTGTCCCGGAATTACACAAGTTGAACTGGTCAAGGATTATGAACCTGAACTGAAAATGTTGGAATACACGAAGAATAACAAAGGGCAGATGACTCTGATACTACCATTGTGGACATGAGAGCAGAGGCCTATTCCCTCTGGGGAGGGGAAGACAACAAACCCCTTCCTGACCAGGATTTAGAAGAAGTACAAGAAGAACAGGAAGTGACTACATGCAAAGATGTCTCCACACAAACCCTGATCACCAGGGAGCTAATCACATCAATGCAGAACACCATCGACATCGAAACTGTTATCCAAACACTCAATTGTAGTTAGTCAGTCAAACTTTTCATCAGTCATGTTTATGAATTTTATGGAAGTTTGGACTCCAGCCTGAGTTTTTTTTTTTAAGAAATATCGAAAAACTTTCGAGTGGAGTTATTCAGAATGGCTTAGTGTTAGAATTGTGTAGAATTCAAAGTTGTAACAGTTTGAAAAGAACAGTTCTTTCTGATTGGGTTTGTAGGCTAGTCAGGTTGAACATGCCCTCGCTCGGAAAATATACTGAACACTGGCGTGTGATAGGAAAAACCGTGGTCAAAAGAAACAAAATTACAGAAATGAAATTTTCGATGTCCCAACTATTGCTGAAAACGACGTAGTTGCTCCAGAGAAAAGTTTTCAACAAGAACTGGAAATGGAAACTGTGAAGAAACTTGCAAAAAATGTTGTTGTTTTCTTTACTTTTGGTCAGTTAACCTAATGAACCAACTGTTTATCTTTTACATCTTTTGTTTTTCTACTAACCTGTAGCTGAACATTTTTTTTGGTTGAACATGCTAGTTCGCTTCCATTTCTTACTAACATTTGTAATCATTCAAAAGATATGTAATGTATTGTAATATTTCAAACGCATTCAACATCCCAAAACCATTCGTAGACGAAATATCAGGAATATCTATTTATTCTAAATCAAATTAATATAAAATTAATATCCGTCTGCAATAAAAGAATAAATGGTTTTCTTTAAGGCATGAAAAAAGAAGTAATTATTCATGGTTTTTCTTTTCCTTTTTTTTCAGGGCCATTGACTCAGCGATGTACCTCTGAAATCAGAAGAAATACAGAAGCTACGCCTGATGCTTTAATTTGGTTTGTGTTATGATTTAGCACACTAGTAGTTGTTTCAACACTTCTTAGATGGTTGAAAGACAAATGCAGATATCATATAACATCACTATTGAAAATATTTCATATTTTTTTCTCATGATGCCTTATCTATATTCTATATATGTTATATATACCAATATGTTCTTGCGTATGTTTTAAATGCAGATATCTACCACAGTCTCAAGCGATAATCATTCACAGCTTGAGTCATTCTGTCTCATTAAATGTTTATTATTTTTTGTTTGTTCATAATAACCATTTACTTTAAAAACAGACAAAGATTAAATAAATGCAGTATTTCCCATTCCAGTTGTAAGTGTAATTTGAACTATGGAGAACAAAGTGGTTTTTTTTTAACATTTACTCGTCTTTGAAATAGCCTATTTTATAAAAAAAGTCCTTTTTTGTGCATAATAATTGTTGAATTATAGTTCCACACATCAATTCATCCCCCATAAAACTATTGAACATTGTTGGATGTTATGACTATTGCAAAGAGAAAGATGATTGTAATCACAATTATAACCTCACACTTTGTCACTTTTAAAATCATTGCCCACGTTTTTGGGGCAGTTGAAAGCTGCAATAAAGAGAATGAACATGTATCATATTTGTGCTTTTTAATTTTATCAGTTAATGCCAAAGATACTTGGACATGTTTTCTCAAAATTTGGGTCAGGAAAATTGCACGTGACCAGTGGAGGTTAAGAAATGACGGTATTTACAGTTCCATAAATAATAATGAATAATAAAACAGAGGAAGAATATTGATTTAGTTATATTAAAAAATGGCCTGGACATGCTAAGTTTACATTTAAGTGAGTGAGTGTGTGAGTGAGTTAATATTTAACGTCACATCGGCAATATTTCAGCCATATCGTGACGAGAACATTTTACATTGAAATGAAATATGTATATATTATAAAACTTGTCATCGAAGGACAGTAAAACAACTAGAATATCACAATTAGATTTAAAACTAGTGTGGAAGGTTAAAATTAATAGCACTATTAGGACAATACAAGATAAAAACAGGTTATAGATCGCCAACAACTGAAGGCCGATCACCATACTAGGGACCATGGGGACTTACAGTACCTTTGCTACCTTGACTCTCTGTTCAGACTCTTGAGACTCTTGAGTGAGAAAGTACAGGAAACCACTGGACATCCACTTCAGCCAACTAGCATCCAAACAGACTTTGAAATCGCCGCCATCAGAGCCACAGAAGCAGTGTTCCCAAATAGTGCTCGAGGGGTGGCATTCCCATCTGAACAAGGTCGTCATGAGAGCTCATCCAAACAGCTTTGAGTTGGTGAAGGTTCTTCAGAAGCTGGAGAAGACCGAACGGAACAGGCTTGTTCAGTTCATCCATGGAGCTAAACCACCGCCACGACGTCGTGTGTGCAAGGAGATTGACAACATGCTTGATAGACTAAAGGATCAGCTACGAGCTGGTGTGAAGGCTCCCTTGGACTTTCTCAGTGCTGTTGGTCGACTAGTGAAGATGGAGTAAAACAAATTCTCAGCATAAATATGCATAAGATGATGTAAAGATATTTGACCCTGTCAGATGTAAAGATATGAATTCAATTATTGTTCCATTTCACAAATATATGAAAACCCCAGCATTTTTTTCGTTGTGTAGGCATTTGTCCACCTTGTCTGTTGGAATGTTCCATTTATGTAATGGGGAGAAGATACTGCTGCTTGAAATCACTGGTGCAGTACTTTGTTTATTCTACACTGTAGGCATTTGTCACTGTAGGCATTTAGAGACTACGCCCTGACTAGTAGCATGAGCATTATGCAGTTCTATTACTTCACAGATCAGTGGATGTATATTAGAAATATTCCTTATATTACGGCCTGAAGACAGGAAAGGGAATCAGACACTATTATAAACTATTATATTTAAATAGGTTTTTGATATATTTGAGAGCTGTTACAATTGCCCTGGATTCTGCTATAAATATTGAACTGTTGTCTGATAATCTGGGTGCTATTTTATTCGATACAACGACAGTGGCTAAGCAACTGCACCATCATCCTTGGATCCATCTGTAAATAAGGATTTGATCTGTCTGTAGTTTTGTAAGAAATGATAAGTTCATTATGATCGTGCTGGTAAATTAACTGGTTGGTATCCGACGATTCAGGTTTCTTTAGGTTTTCAAGGGTTTTGTTGCTGTTTTTTCATAAATTAATCAATGTTATTAAGCAGTTTTCCATTCAAAATTGATATATTATCATTTATCAGGATGTCCGCTAGGATTTCATCTACACAGAAAGTCCTGCTACTGGTTCTCAAACGTGCGATGTTCGTTTCCAGAGGCGGCTGTAAGTATTATCGCATGAGAGTATTTTTCTCACCTTTAACTCTCTCCTACTGGGCTTCAAACAATCAAACCACCACTTATCTTACCTTCATGTAAAATACTTTAATTTTATTGGTTAATGACGCTTAAACAAGTTTCCGTGTCACCCCTCCCAGGAGGATATTACCTGCTGCCACGGTAACAACTATCCGCTGAGTAATATGACGTATGCAGTGACTGGAGTTCGAAAACCGTTCGATTAGCTGTTTTTAGTTCACTTTGTACACATTTATTTTACCGACTTTCACTGCTTTATTTAAACTACTTTATACATTATTCGTTGGCACTCTCAATTTAAAAATAATGAACCTTTTTTAGAGCAGTTTTAAGCTTGTCAGAATATGTTTCATGGATTTTAAAAATCCAGTCGAGAGACAGACGCCATTTTGTTTAATTGTCATATAGTCGGTAGTAGCGATCTTTAAAATAAAATAAAATGATATTTTGTACATTTAACATGGCGGTAAGATAAACACGATGCATGATTCTCCCTCGGGTAATACGGTCTGATGTGCGCCTTCCAGCTCGGGTGTTACTGCTACAAAGAGGCGTACATCAGACCGTATTACCCTTGAGAGAAGCATACAACTTATAAAGTATTTATCATGATACAATGCAAGCTGAAATATTCTGACCACCTGTGAAGGTTAGAATTGTCAGAAATATGTTCTGGACTTAACAAAATTCAGCCTTTCACAATTATGTGATGAATACATGACGATCCGGGTTGCTGACTCGAATGACACGTGTCATTGTATCTCAATTCAATGCTCAAGCTGTTGATAACTGTATTGCCTGGTTCAGGCTCAGTTATCTACAGACCGCCACCACATAACGTTAAACAACAACACAGAATGACGTGAAACTGCAGCATGAGATGGCCTCATCACCCCTGACACATGATATACCCTATTTATTTTACTTCATTTACAGAAGACATAGTTGTTGTATACAATGTACTTTGAAACAAATTGCTCAAAACAGTTAGCTCGAAAATTTAAATTATTCCAACTGAGTCAGAAAAGCAGATGTGGACATGTATTTTACAAATCACTTTTCTGTCACTGATAAAAGTATGTGCCGACATATCTCTCTAGACTTGAACAAAATTTAGTCTTTCGTATTTAAAGAGATGTACAGATGGTAGGTGTCGTCTTGGAAGAACGTGCTTCCTCTGCTTGCTGTTTAAACAATGGAGTGTACTTTTCAGGCCTACTGTTGTTACTTGGAGAGCCATCTTGCGACAATAGAAAGCCAAGATGAAGACCCGTTCATCAACGGATATGCTATCCGACGTGGCAGAGGTGAGATTCTTATAGGGCATTCTGCTTTTGATGAGATTATATTTTTCCTTTTGGCTTCAAACATATACTCAAAGGTTGACGTTATTGTTTGCAGGGAACCAACACACGTTCCTTCCTCATGTTTTATGTTCTGTTGATTGTTACAGTGCCTTGAAGCTGTAAACGTTTAACACTGATTCTGTTTGTAGTGTCTGTGTCACAACAACGTTTGTCTTCGAGTATGTTTGAGTATTTTCAATTGCAGAATTTGGAACCATGTCCAAATTTCTGACAATTGTAACACCGGAGTGGATTGGGGACATACACCTCCACTCCGATGTTAAAATAGTCTGCCTTAATGGATTTGGGGATAGCAGTCAGCGAAAAAGTGAACAAATAAGTATTTGTTGGGATAATTGCATCTCCATCTTTTCTCATGAAACGTTTCACTGAGGTCACATGTTGCCCAGAAAGTTCTTTCAGTATTTCTTCCTCAGTCATTTCCGCGAGACAACGGGCTCTGTCGCGGATGATCCCTCGACTGGAATTTAGAGTTCGGTGTACTGAGACAGTGACTTCAGTATTGACAAAAGTGGTACATTTCAAAAGATTAACAGCCTGTGGTCGTCGGGCACATTCTACCAAAAGAGAGCCGCCTCGGAGCCGTGAATCATTTGTTACTTCTCCACAAATGCCTTCAATTGCTTTGCTAATAGCAAAAGGGTTGATTTTCAAAGGGAGTCCATCTTTTGAGTCAACGACAATAAATCGTGCCCAGGAATTTGAATTTTGAGGAAGAGAAATATCATCATCAGAGGACAATATCTCAGCTTCCAAACGTCTCTTCTTTTCACTGCGACTAGAACCAGAATGATTGTGAGCCATGGTGATATAAAATTGATTCGACAGCCCTGGTCCCCACCCACCATGGAGTGTCAACGAGGACGGTGTCTAACTGCATCGGGTCTCCAGCATGCAAACACCAGGGATACAGGGATGTTATACTCAAGCAAATATGACTTGAATAGCTATATTTGTCTACTAAGTTAATTGGTAGGGTGGTTCTGCCCATAACAATAACTTAGAGACATACATTATTCAGCGGTCAACATCGCCAGATTGGCCCATGAGCCACCGCCTTCTGGCATAGGACTCTAGGCAAGTAAATATATCAATAATTTTCTACACTAGACGTCAAAATGACCAATACCCAATTATTCAAAAGTGCAAAAATATTTTCTACGCACAGGGCATGGCGTGACCAGCCGATTGATAGAATCGGGCCGATTCTACCACCCGTCTAGGTGAAGTAAGGGCCGAAGTGGTGTGTTGGGCAATAGGAACACGGTTCCAGGCTCCTACTGCCCTCAACCACCAGACTCCCGTCCTCCACCGACACAGGGGCGCAACCCACGGCAAACGGGTTGGTGGACCAAATATCCCCCCGGGTCCACAACGGGGGGTTGAAGGGCGCTTAGCGTTACCCAGCACCCACCACGAGGAGGTGGCCCTTCATGGGTGCCTGATTATAGTGAAGGTGGTGGACCTGTTGGGTTGTTTATAGTGAAGGTGGTGGACCTGTTTGGTTGTTTATAGTGAAGGTGGTGGACTTGTTTGGTTGATTATAGTGAAGGTGGTGGACCAGTTGGGTTGTTTATAGCGAAGGTGGTGGATGTAGTTGGCCTTGTGGGCTGATTATAGTGACGGTGGTGGACCTGTTGGGTTGTTTATAGTGAAGGTGGTGGACCTGTTGGGTTGTTTATAGTAAGGGTGGTGGACCTGTTGGGTACTTTATAGTGAAGGTGGTGGGCCTGTTGGTTTGTTTATAGTGAAGGTGGTGGACCAGTTGGGGCATTTATAGTGAAGGTGGTGGACCTGTTGGGTTGTTGGTAGAGTTGTTGGTGGACCTTTTGTGTTGATCGCCCTGGACTAGTGAGCCATTCGGTTTGCATAAAAATGAATATACTGTCGTATATATGGCAGTCACATGTCAAGCCTTGTGCTTTATTGATTTCACTTGTGTGTTATGCCACGTGATGTCCCGGATGCATCCACGTAAAAGAAGAACTCAGTTTTCCGTTTCCACTGATCTCTCATATGTGGTGTAGCACGCTCTGGCATTTCTTTTATTGATGTATTGAAGCCTCTGCCATTATGACCACATTGTAATGTCACGTGATGTCCTGAAACATTGTCCTGAAACTACTTAAAGTCAGAACTCACAATACCTATGACAGTGATCTCTGAACCGTTGTTCAGCAGCCTCTCTTATTCGTCTAACCAGTTCTCAGTCCCTGTGCTCTTCGGTGATTACTTCAAGATGATGCCATTCTGTTTAAATAACTGTCTCCAGAGTGCCTTAGCAGTAGCCGTTTACATGTTTTTACTTTCCACATGCAGCTCAAAGGAATGTGGACTTAAGATGACAGGGAACATGAAGGAGAGGGCAATCATTTTTAGAAACATTGACAAGAAGACGTGCCAACTTGACTGTAACGACGATTCCTTCATTTTCGCACACTGTCATCGAGCAAGTGAATCAAAGAAGATTGAGAGGACAGGCGGACCCGGCGGCCGTTCTGAGAATCAATCGCATGTAAGTTATGTCTAAGTAAAATGGAGGTGTTACAAAGTGTGTATGTGTGTCTAGATATGTGTAGTTATATGAACGATACAACAAGAAGAGAAGCGGCAAGTGTATTCGTTATGAGACTTGCCTTCATTTTGTGTTTAATGGATGTTAGTAATTGTGTGTCAAACTGTTGAAATGGTCCCAAAGACATATACATATATTCACTTGCAGAACATATATACTGAAACAATATTTGTCTTTGTTTCATTCATAGTAATTTGACAAAAGTTACCTAAAGTTTGAATCAAACCTACTTCTTAAAGGTCACATGCAGCGTAAAACACAACTTGGTAGATTCTGATACCTTTCGGTATGGACTTACCGAAACAAATCATCAAAAATGCAAATTCAGCTTATAAAGTTGGCAAATAACGCGATGAAAAACCTGCGCGAAATCGGAGTTCAAACGATTCACTCATTTTCCCCCAGCACTTGGGGGAAATGTTGTTTCAACAGCTGGGCTGGGCTTCACTCATAGCACATGCGCAATGAAATAGGTTCGCGCAGCTAGGAATACTCAGTGAAGGCTTTACTGAGTATTCACCTCTACTGCAGTGTTTATTAATTTTGTGTAGCGCCATGAGCAGACACCAAGTGCCTGGAGTTTTGGCGCATAAAAAATCTACTGTATTATTATTATTATTATTAAGGCTTTGGTGTGAGCTATTTTTCTAATGTTTTGTTGATATTTCACAGGCGCGAGCTTTTAATATGTTATGACAGTAGATTACCGATTTAACTGTTTATATAATTTCAGTTGTCTATTTCAACCTACGTTCTTTTCACCGAATTACTTTCTCAGTTCGATACTTAAAAGCAATGTCATTATTTAGCGTTGACAGAATTTCTAACTTTGATATAGATATGTCTTTGTCACAGACAAAACTCAATGTCTGTTTCATTGACACAACTGCGATCACTGACCACATGCAATTTGAACTTAACACCATATACAATACGCATTGATTTATGGCCCGAGTTCGGTCTCTGTCACATTATGTAATTACACAGACAGGCAGGAGTCATACTTGTACACATGACATGTTATGATGTCTGTTGATTGTAAATTGTTATGCACAAAAATTGAGCATGTATTTACAAAATCCAACATCTCTATATATACACACACAATGAGCCGTGGGGGCATCGGCAAATGAACCAGCCGTTACACTTGAGTGCACACCCACCTGCTCTGACTGGGTTCGGTATCCCGGCTGCTTCGTTTCTTGGGAAGTAAACCCAAGTACAAAATATTGCACTTTTGATTTCAGAACATAATCGACATCAACAGTCCAGACTTGTCAAGGAAGACACTGGAGACGGTTGCATCAGCAAGGGAATATAAGGGAGTAGTAGAGCTCCCGAGTAAAGGAGCTGATATGTCACTGATCAATAAAAAAGGCAACAAAAGACGTAACAAAAAACTTCTCGTTGCCTGTCGGAGAGGAGATGTGGAGGCGGTGAAGCAGGTCCTCGAACAGGACAATGTGGACATCAATAGTAGAGGTTTTAGGAGTATGACTCCTATGATGTTAGCAGCAAAGAACGGGCGTAGGGGAGTTGTAGACTTCCTCGTGAGTGAAGGAGCTGATATGTCACTGGTCGATCAAAGAGGTGATAATGTCCTCCACGCTGCTTGTCGGGGAGGATATGTGGAAATAGTGAAGTATGTCCTCTCGCAAAATATATTGGACATTAACAGAGGAGACAGGATGATGAGAACACCGCTGATGGTTGCATCAGAAACTGGACATAAGGACGTGGTAGAGCTCCTCGTGAGAAAAGGGGCTAATGTGTCACTGGTCAATGAAAAAGGTAGGAACATCCTTCACTTTGCCTGTCAGGGGGTAGATGTAGAGACGGTGACGTATGTCCTTGCACAGGACAATGTGGGCATCAATAGTAGAGACTTCCGGGGTAGGACTCCTGTGATGGAAGCGGCAAAAAATGGACATAAGGAAGTGGTAGTCTTCCTCCTGAGTGAAGGAGCTGACGTGTCACTGGTCGATGTCAGTGGCAACCACCTCCTTCACACTGCCTGTGAGGGAGGTAATATAGAGGTGGTGAAGTATGTCCTAGCACAGGACTCAGTTGACATTAACGCCAGGAACAAGAAAGGAAAAACAGCAGCAGATACTGCAAAGTCCCATGGACTATTACATATTCTTGACCTTCTTAAATATTGTGTTTTTTTCCAATTTGTACAGACATTGTTCTTGATTCAGAGACTTACGTGATAGATACATTCACCATTTTAATGAACATTTCCGTGTTAAATTCACTTTGTTACACACTTTCATGGCAAACAGATTCAAGTATGATACAGTCAGGTTTTTAGGTTATGGCAATGTCACTTTGCAACACAAGTGTTATCTCAATTTCTCACAAAAACTTTTGTATGGGAGTTTCTAAGATGCTTCGGTGAAAGATAGAAGGCGCCGACAGTACTTTATCAGACGATAATGTGCACTTTTTGCATTACGTCAGAATGCATTGGCGTCACTGCACCATTCTAGTCTGCGCCCTCGTAATCGAATACTTTTGCATTACGTCACAATGTAACCGACGTCACGATGTATGCCAGTTGTCATCGCCTCGTACAGTCTCCTACAGTAAAGTACTCCGTTGCAATCGGTTTCTTGGTTTGCAGTTGCTTCACTCAGCTAACATCACTGGTGGAAACATTACGTTTATTTTTTCCAACGGATATAATGTCTCAGTTCGACTGACAATTTTACAACGACACGGTGACGTTCGCAATGTTTACATTCCCACAATGCAATCGTGGAATGTCGATTGACTAGTCACCTTCATCTGGATGTACTGATGTAAACTTACGTTGGTTGTTGAAATGCGACGTTCATATTGCCCCATATGGTTTACGTTAATCACAGATGTAATTAACATAATTTAGAGAAGATATTTAACCCGTCCGTAAACCGTCATCAAACTGTTTATCAGTTGCTTTTCTGGTAACGTTCGTCTTAACGTAGGGGGGCAGACACGTCAATAGAACAGCACGTCAGTAAGCCCAGTGCAACGATTCGTAATTTAGGCCACCGACACGTCGTTTGTTTTCTGCCTTAGATTAATCGTCATTATCCTTAGAAAGTATTACATTTGGCATCTTACAGTTTCGCCCTGAACTATTACAACGTTAAATCCCAAATTCCGAGCACGCTTTAACGTTGTAATAGTTCAGGGCGAAAGTGTGCATTATTACACTATACATGGTGGTAGAGCGAACTGTATTTCTTAAATATGTACACGTATTCGTAACTTTAGAAATTAATAAATATCATTCTATAGTTTGCATTCGAAAAAATATATGTAACGTATGAAGGATGGGAAAATAAAAACAATTGTGACATTTGAAAAAGAGCTCTGTCTCAGTGAGATAAAGTAAATGACACATCGACACTATTTCAGCCATAACGTGACTATATGAGAATACACATGACACATGCTTAAATGTAATACAGTAATATCACAAATTTGTTTATAAAGTAAGTATATAACCATTAAAACGACATTACAGGATAATGCATGATAACAACAGGCTATAATGTACTATCAGTAAATGTTGGCCACCTTGTCAGGGACCAGGTACATAACACACCAGCAGGATTTACACCTTCTTTCAAGTCAGTGACAATTGCTAGGACTTTCATTTCGGTTCAAAATAGAATCATAAATATTCTACGTTAGAAACGTTTGTAGATACATTCTCCTTTGAATGAGGAGGACTTATCGTTGCCTTTTCAAGGGGAACAGTAGCAGTATTTAGCCCCTTCAGTTGACGTCGTCACCCTTGGATGTATCTGTAAAATAGATCCAGGAGAAGGAGAACTGTATGCTCTACATAACTGATTAAACTCCTGTGTTGCTTGAGATTGTGTGTGTATTCTAAATAAAGTTTACCAGAACTGCTTTGATGTTAATATTATCAACCATGTTTAAATTTTAAATATTATTTTCCAACTTTACTATGGTTGATTTTGCGATCTGTCGAACTACCATTCCTCTGCCAGAACAGTTTCAACAGGAATTATCATGATGATTTTCCCCAAAACACAGCATGTGCAGAACTGTACTTTTGTCTCAACACACAACAGACATGACGTGATCGTTGAGCAGAGAGACGGAGCGATATATATCAAACTAATGTATTCGGATCCAGAACCCTATATTAGGTTCATATATACATCTGTGCATAACATAAGCACCACCCTCTATTTTTACCACTTAATTTTGTCTGAAATGAAATTCTTTCCAAAATATAACCTTTATAATTTGATAGAGCAAGCCTATATCATTTCAAAAACGAAAAATCATTGAAATTACCATGTTTATTTAAATTAGGATAATTGCTTATATTTTCCGTCCTAAAACAAGCTACCTTATCTAGACAAATGAAAGTAATAATTGATTGTTCTGTGGCCTATAAATTCGTTATTTATTGTGAATGGATGGAAGTTTGTAAACTAAGATTTGGAAAAAGGAAAATTTTAAAATGCAGTAAAAGTTAAAAACAAAACAAACATATGTTAGCTGTAATTATCAGTATCCGGCAAGGAGAAGTGTTTATTCATTACAATAAACTCAAAATCCTAAAAAAAAATATTCCAAAATCTTATTCATGTGGCCTTTTTCAGTTTTGGTCAATTAGCAATCTGAATTGTTGGAAAAAAGATCTGAATCTTTCAAATTCTGGTTCTTCCTGCTAATGCATAATTATGGCTTACATGATGTGTAAATGTCATCTTGGTAAATAACAAAATTGTTATTTTTTGTCAAACCTTAATTTAATAATTTAATTGTGTAGTTTGAGCAGGAGAGGAATAGTTATTTCGGGTAAAAATTCTGTCCCATCACATTTTCATCAACATATTCTTTCATAAGGAATAGAAATGGTTATGATATTTGTAAAACTGTCAGTGGATAAAGCTTCTTTAACTACAGGTTGATTAGATTGATGGCTATACCCCAAGTTTTCGGTCGCATCACATCGTATTTTCAAAATAGGGTGATGCTTAATTAATGCACAGGGGTATATATGTTTCTCTGCTCAGCGGTAAGTCGGTTCATATCTGTTGACTATATATTTACATTTGTATTTTGGGTTGTTGATCGGTTCATGGTTTGCAACAGTTTCATCAGTATGGCGTTCTTGTTGAGGGGTCTTTCTTTTCAACAACGATGCCGAATTCATTTTTCATCGTTTGTACCCTTACCCAAATGATATTATTATGACGCACACCGTTTGTACAATAGCACTGTTTGCTTTGTGAGCTATAGTTAAACAGGTTTCAAGGTTGATTGAGTGTATTCATAACATACTCAATGGGCTAAGTCTCATGAAGTGAAACAAGAGTATAGACAACCTATAGCTAAAGCTGGACCACCCTAATTGGAACAGTGGGGACTTTCAGAAACTACACTGCATTAATCCACAACATTAGTTATGCCATCACTGTGGCCACTAAGGGCATATACGTTATGCCAAAGCTGAGAACAGAAAACACTAAATAAACACTTAAAACAATAGCATACACTTTGGTTAAGAAATGAACTTCATTGTCATGGGCAGAAGGATCTATGTGTAAGTTGCTTTCCGGTATCACTTTACAGTTGTGCTGACGGTATGAAACATATATGGTAGCGACATTTCCCATTATCTAAGGTGGAGACGGATAGTCCTGTTCAAAGCGAACGTGGGTACTCTGGTAGTGATGCTCATGGTGTTTGTATTTACAAAAGTTTAGGAAGTATGTTTAGAAATATATTTATGGTTGAAAGCACACAGTCCCCATCCACATAACAATTCACAGTCCCCTTCTACGTGAAGCACACATTCACCACCTACATGAAGCTCACAGTCCCCACCTACATGAAGCTCACAGTCCCCACCTACATGAAGCTCAAAGTCCCCACCTACATGAAGCTGACAGTCTCCACATACATGAAACTCATTGTCCCCACCTACATGAAGATCACAGTCCCAAATTACATGAAGCTCACAGTCCACATCTACATGAATCACACAGTCTCCATCTACATGAAGCTCTCAGTGTCCTCCTACATGAATCACACAGTCTCCATCTACATGAAGCTCACAGTCCCCACCTACATGAATCACACAGCCTCCATCAACATGAAGTTCACAGTCCCCACCTACATGAAGCTCAGTGTACCCACCTACATGAATCACACAGTCTCCATCTACATGAAGGTCAGTCTCCACCTACATGAAGCTCACAGTCTCCACTTTCATGAAGCTCACAGTCTCCACCTACATGAACCTCACAGTCTCCATCTACATGAAGCTCACAGTCCCCACCTACATGAATCACACAGCCTCCATCAACATGAAGTTCACAGTCCCCACCTACATGAAGCTCAGTGTCCCCACCTACATGAAGCTCAGTGTACCCACCTACATGAATCACACAGTCTCCATCTACATGAAGGTCAGTCTCCACCTACATGAAGCTCACAGTCTCCACCTTCATGAAGCTGACAGTCTCCACCTACATGAACCTCACAGTCTCCACTTAGATGAGGCTCACTGTCCCCACCTACATGAAGGTCATAGTCTCCACCTATATGAATAACACAGTCTCCATCTACATGAAGCTCATAGTCTTCACCAACATGAAGTTCACAGTCCCAACCTACATGCAGCTCACAGTCCCCACCTACATGAAGCTCACAATCTCCATCTACATGAAGCTCACAGTCCCAACCTACATGAAGCTCACAGTCCCCACCTACATGAAGCTCACAATCTCCATCTACATGAAGCTCACTGTCCCCACCTACATGAAGCTCACAGTCGCCATCTACATGAAGCTCACAGTCCCCACCTGCATGAAGCTCACAGTCCCCACCGACATGAAGTTCACAGTCCACACGTACATGAATTTCATAGTCCATACCTGCATGAAGCTCACAGTCTCCACCTACATTAAGCTCACAGTCTCCTCCTACATGAAGTTCACAGTCCCCACCTGCATGAATATCACAGTTTCCATCTACATGAAGCTCAATGTCCCCACCTACATGAAGGTCATAGTCTCCACCTCACTGGCCCCATACCTACATCAAGCTCACAGTCCCCACCTACATGAAGCTCACAGTGTCAACCTACTTGAAGTTCACAGTCCCCACCTACATTAAGTTCACAGTTCACACCTACATGAAGTTCATAGCCCCAACCTGCATGAAGCTCACAGTCTCCACCTACATCAAGCTCACAGTCCCCACCTACATGAAGCTCACAGTCCCCACCTACACGAATCACAGTCTCCGCTTACATGAAGCTCACAGTCCCCACCTACATGAAGCTCACAGTCCCCACCTACATGAAGCTCACAGTCCCCACCTACATGAAGCTCACAGTCCCCACCTACATGAAGCTCACAGTCCCCACCTACATGAAGCTCACAGTCCCCACCTACATGAAGCTCACAGTCCACACCTACATGAAGCTCACAGTCCCCACCTACATGAAGCTCACAGTCCCCACCTACATGAAGCTCACAGTCCCCACCTACATGAAGCTCACAGTCCCCACCTACATGAAGCTCACAGTCCCCACCTACATGAAGCTCACAGTCCCCACCTACATGAAGCTCACAGTCCACACCCTACATGAAGCTCACACAGTCCCCACCTACATGAAGCTCACAGTCTCCACCTACATGAAGCTCACAGTCCCCACCTACATGAAGCTCACAGTCTCCACCTACATGAAGCTCACAGTCACAGTCTCCCACCTACATGAAGCTCACAGTCTCCACCTACATGAAGCTCACAGTCCATACCTACATGAAGCTCACAGTCTCCACATACATGAAGCTCACAGTCCCCACCTACATGAAGCTCACAGTCTCCACCTACATGAAGCTCACAGTCCCCACCTACATGAAGCTCACAGTCCCCACCTACATGAAGCTCACAGTCTCCACCTACATGAAGCTCACAGTCCCCACCTACATGAAGCTCACAGTCCCCACCTACATGAAGCTCACAGTCCCCACCTACATGAAGCTCACAGTCCCCACCTACATGAAGCTCACAGTCCCCACCTACATGAAGCTCACAGTCCCCACCTACATGAAACTCACAGTCCCCACCTACATGAAGCTCACAGTCCCCACCTACATGAAGCTCACAGTCCCCACCTACATGAAGCTCACAGTCTCCACCTTACATGAAGCTCACAGTCCCAACCTACATGAAGCTCACACCTACATGTCCCCAGTCCCCACCTACATGAAGCTCACAGTCCCCACCTACATGAAGCTCACAGTCCCCACCTACATGAAGCTCACAGTCCCCACCTGAACATGAAGCTCATGAAGCTCACAGTCCCCACCTACATGAAGCTCACAGTCCCCACCTACATGAAGCTCACAGTCCCCACCTACATGAAGCTCACAGTCCCCACCTACATGAAGCTCACAGTCCCCACCTACATGAAGCTCACAGTCTCCATCTACATGAAGCTCACAGTCTCCACCTACATGAAGCTCACAGTCCCCACCTACATGAAGCTCACAGTCTCCACCTACATGAAGCCTCACAGTCTCCACCTACATGAAGCTCACAGTCCCCACCTACATGAAGCTCACAGTCTCCACCTACATGAAGCTCACAGTCTCCATCTACATGAAGCTCACAGTCTCCACCTACATGAAGCTCACAGTCCCCACCTACATGAAGCTCACACAGTCCCCACCTACATGAAGCTCACAATCTCCATCTACATGAAGCTCACAGTCCCCACCTACATGAAGCTCACAGTCCCCACCTACATGAAGCTCACAGTCTCCATCTACATGAAGCTCACAGTCCCCACCTACATGAAGCTCTACATGAAGTCACAGTCACATCTACATGAAGCTCACAGTCCCCACCTACATGAAGCTCACAGTCCCCACCTACATGAAGCTCACAGTCCCCACCTACATGAAGCTCACAGTCCCACCTACATGAAGCTCACACAGTCTCCACCTACATGAAGCTCACAGTCTCCACCTACATGAAGCTCACAGTCCCCACCTACATGAAGCTCACAGTCTCCACATCTACATGAAGCTCACACAGTCCCCACCTACATGAAGCTCACAGTCTCCACCTACATGAAGCTCACAGTCTACATGACCTACATGAAGCTCACATGAAGTCCCCACCTACATGAAGCTCACAGTCCCCACCTACATGAAGCTCACAGTCCCCACCTACATGAAGTTCTCACAGTCTCACACCTACATGAAGCTCACAGTCCCCACCTACATGAAGCTCACAGTCTCCACCTACATGAAGCTCACAGTCCCCACCTACATGAAGCTCACAGTCCCCACCTACATGAAGCTCACAGTCTCCCCTACATGAAGCTCACACATGAAGCTCACAGTCCCCACCTACATGAAGCTCACAGTCCCCACCTACATGAAGCTCACAGTCCCCACCTACATGAAGCTCACAGTCCCCACCTACATGAAGCTCACAGTCCCCACCTACATGAAGCTCACAGTCTCCATCTACATGAAGCTCACAGTCCCCACCTACATGAAGTTCACAGTCCACACCTACATGAAGCTCACAGTCCCCACCTACATGAAGCTCACAGTCTCCACCTACATGAAGCTCACTGTCCCCACCTACATGAAGCTCACTGTCCCCACCTACATGAAGCTCACAGTCCCCACCTACATGAAGCTCACAGTCCCGACCTACATGAAGCTCACAGTCCACATCTACATGAATCACACAGTCTCCACCTACATGAAGCTCACAGTCTCCACCTACATGAAGCTCACAGTCCCACCTACATGAAGCTCACAGTCTCCACCTACATGAAGCTCACAGTCCCCACCTACATGAAGCTCACAGTCTCCACCTACATGAAGCTCACAGTCCCATCTACATGAAGCTCACAGTCTCCACCTACATGAAGCTCTCACAGTCCCCACCTACATGAAGCTCACAGTCTCCACCTACATGAAGCTCACAGTCCCCACCTACATGAAGCTCACAGTCCCCACCTACATGAAGCTCACAGTCTCCACCTACATGAAGCTCACAGTCCCCACCTACATGAATCACACAGTCCCCACCTACATTAAGCTCACAGTCTCCATCTACATGAAGCTCACAGTCCCCACCTACATGAAGCTCACAGTCTCCACATACATGAAGCTCACAGTCCCCACCTACATGAAGCTCACAGTCCCGACCTACATGAAGCTCACAGTCCCCACCTACATGAAGCTCACAGTCCCCACCTACATGAAGCTCACAGTCTCCCACCTACATGAAGCTCACAGTCCCCACCTACATGAAGCTCACAGTCCCCACCTACATGAAGCTCACAGTCCCCACCTACATGAAGCTCACACATGAAGCCCCACCACCTACATGAAGCTCACAGTCCCCACCTACATGAAGCTCACAGTCCCCACCTACATGAAGCTCACAGTCCCCACCTACATGAAGCTCACAGTCCCCACCTACATGAAGCTCACAGTCCCCACCTACATGAAGCTCACAGTCCCCACCTACATGAAGCTCACAGTCCCCACCTACATGAAGCTCACAGTCTCCACCTACATGAAGCTCACAGTCTCCACCTACATGAAGCTCACAGTCCCCACCTACATGAAGCTCACAGTCCCCACGTACATGAAGCTCACAGTCTCCACCTACATGAAGCTCACTGTTCCCACCTACATGAAGCTCACTGTCCCCACCAACATGAAGCTCACTGTCCCCACCAACATGAAGCTCACAGTCCCGACCTACATGAAGCTCACAGTCCACATCTACATGAATCACACAGTCTCCACCTACATGAAGCTCACAGTCTCCACCTACATGAAGCTCACAGTCCATACCTACATGAAGCTCACAGTCTCCACCTACATGAAGCTCACAGTCCCACCTACATGAAGCTCACAGTCTCCACCTACATGAAGCTCACAGTCCCCACCTACATGAAGCTCACAGTCTCCACCTACATGAAGCTCACAGTCCCCACCTACATGAAGCTCACAGTCTCCACCACCTACATGAAGCTCACAGTCCCCACCTACATGAAGCTCACAGTCCCCACCTACATACATGAAGCTCACAGTCTCCACACCTACATGAAGCTCACAGTCCCCACCTACATGAAGCTCACAGTCTCCCACCTACATGAAGCTCACAGTCTCCACCTACATGAAGCTCACAGTCCCCACCTACCTACATGAAGCTCACAGTCTCCACCTCTACATGAAGCTCACAGTCCCCACCTACATGAAGCTCACAGTCCCCACCTACATGAAGCTCACAGTCCATACCTACATGAAGCTCTCACAGTCCCCACCTACATGAAGCTCACAGTCCCCACCTACATGAAGCTCACAGTCCCCACCTACATGAAGCTCACAGTCCCCACCTACATGAAGCTCTCACAGTCTCCATCTACATGAAGCTCTCACAGTCCCACCTACATGAAGCTCACAGTCCCCACCTACATGAAGCTCACAGTCTCCCACCTACATGAAGCTCACAGTCCCCACCTACATGAAGCTCACAGTCCCACCTACATGAAGCTCACAGTCCCCACCTACATGAAGCTCACAGTCCCCACCTACATGAAGCTCACAGTCCCCACCTACATGAAGCTCACAGTCACAGTCCCCACCTACATGAAGCTCACAGTCCCCACCTACATGAAGCTCAGTCTCCCACTCTCCTATGATGAAGCTCCTCACCTACATGAAGCTCACAGTCCCCACCTACATGAAGCTCACAGTCCCCACCTACATGAAGCTCACAGTCCCCACCTACATGAAGCTCACAGTCCCCACCTCCTACATGAAGCTCACAGTCCCCACCTACATGAAGCTCACAGTCCCCACTACACATGAAGCTCACAGTCCCCACCTACATGAAGCTCTCACAGTCTCCACCTACATGAAGCTCACAGTCCCCACCTACATGAAGCTCAAGTTCCCACCTACATGAAGCTCTCACAGTCCCACCTACATGAAGCTCACAGTCCCCACCTACATGAAGCTCACAGTCTCCACCTACATGAAGCTCACAGTCTCCATCCTACATGAAGCTCCCCACACATGAAGCTCACAGTCCCCACCTACATGAAGCTCACAGTCCCCACCTACATG